AGCCGGGAGAGCCGCAGCAAAGGCTGCTGCGCTCTCCGGGGCCCTCCGCTCCCCCCACAGATCCCCGGGCCCCCTGCTTCCCTGAGGAGCCCCTTCCGAGCCGCGGGGCTGCTCCTGTCCCCGCTCTCGGGCGGTGTTTCCGCGCTAAGCTGGTCCCGCTCCGGCCCTGGCACATGCAAGTCCCTGACGGGGCTTTCCGCCCGAGGTGCGCGGGAAGCACCTCGTTTTGGTCTGATAAACAAAATTTTCCTGAGGGCTTTAGTGTGATTTTAGCAGCCTTCGGGGTGTTTACTACTCTTCCCTGTTTTGTTTAAACTGCGTGCTTGTTCGTGGCTCACGGGTTAACCCATCCAAGCGCCGCCTGGTGCAGCCGAGCACGGCGGGTGCCTGTGAGGGCTCCGCGGATCCCAGCGCCGGCACGGGCGCGTGTGAAACACCCCTCAGCACCGGCGGGATCTGCTCTTCCTGCTAAGGTGTCCTGAGCCCGAACCTCGGGGATGCCACGGCAAGGGAGAATCGGACTCGAGGCTTTGATTTTTCTCCTTCGAATTTTCCCTGCCTCAGAGTGATGTGTGGGCAGCAGAGAAAGAAGGACAGGGGAAGTGGGCGTGGGCCGGCAGGACAGCGCTGCTCCGGCAAGCACCTCTTCAGAGTTCGCACCGTCTCCATTCCGTGCGTGCCCTGAAATATTTGCCAAACAAGGGCGGAAGAATTTCAGCTGTAAAGGTCATTATCCTCTTTTTTTCCTTTTTTTTTTTTTTTTTTTTTTTTTAAACTTGAGCTTTTGTGCCTCTAATCCTCCTACTCAGTCAGTAACGATTGTACCAAATCCATACAGCCGGATTCACCATTTCTTCTTACTTCTAATAAGTTTTTCTGTTTCATGTTTCACTAAAGGTTAGGCAGGCTCAGTGCCGAAGATTCTGCGATGCTTAATCACATTTTCTAATTCAGTTACATAAAGAATAAGTGGATTAGATTAAAAATGCCTGGAAATTTGTTTCTCGGATGACAGCTGTGACTAAAACCAGAGTTCCTGCAGTAGTCTAATTTCAGGAAATTTTCCCCTTGTTACTACATAACTAGGGGTCGAAGGAGCTATTCTGCTCCGGAATGGCGAGATGAGCATCAATGGCACCGTATTCCCCTCGCTTCAGAAACATCCCGGCTAGGCAGCTCAGGAGCTGGGCGTGTGCACGACCTGGGGAAGTGCAGTGGACTTCACTCAGTTCCTTGCAAGAGGAGAGAGGAAGGAGAAAGCCATCTCCTGCGTGGCTGGGGCGCTGCCAAGTCTGCGGTCATGCAGTCTCCCGGCCTGGAGCAGCCAGCGGCGGGGGCAGGCGGCACTCGGGACCCCGCGGCTCCTCGGGCCCATGTGCCAGCCCCTCTCCTCTTCATCCTCCCCCTCCTCCTCCTCCTCCTCCTCCTCCTCAGTCCCGCTCCCGCCGAGGGCGCCGCTGCGGGAAAAGCCAAACGCTGCTGGCATCAAGAAGAGGAGAAGAAAGAAGTTTCCTCCCAGCGCTAGCAAGGCTGGGGTTAGCGCAGCCTGTAGAGGGGATCTCGCAGGAGTCCTGAGCACTGCGGTCCCAGGGAGGGAGGAGGGGAGCAGCCAATTCAGGGATACGTGGAAAACAAGTCTGCTGTCAGTTGCTATGTATGTGCAGTATGGGTGGCTGAGTGCTCTGAGCAGATGTATGTAGACTAAAAATTGGAGAATCACTGACAAATCAGGGCTTTCTTATCATACTGTACCGTCTGGGGCTGTGATGTACCTGCATCCTTCCATACCGTACCTGGTGAATCTGGTTTGCTGTAACTTTGTTCCCCTTCTTTGCAGGTAGCACACTAGGTTGGACCACGTGCTGTCAGGTTGGCTAAAGTGGCCTCAGAACCTCTCTAGGGATGACAGTATTGATAAAGAAACCTCTCTAGAACTCCCTTAAATGGTCTGAGAAATCTGTGGTACGGCTAATCTTACAATACCATCTATTTTCCCTGTTCTATAGACAAGAAACTGAAACATAGGGAGATCAAGTGGTTCCTCTTGTTTACTCAGGAAGTCTCCAGTGGAGCTTTGAACTGACCCCACATGCCCCAAGCACACTTTGTTAATGCACAATTGTTGCACTAACAGCTGTCTGCATTTCCCTTCAGCACCCGGTTGCGGGCCACCATCTCCTCCACTTGAAGACAAACTGAAGAAGAGATGCCACCTCTCCCTTTTTCCTTAGTCCTTCCTCACATTTCTCAAGAGGATTTTCATTGAAGGAGGTTGGTTTGGGATGACTGACAAGGATTTGGGACAGCAATCCAAATTCTCTCTTTTCCAATTTTTTTCTCCGCTGAAGCTTACATACACTACTATTTACACATTTGAATAAGTGTTGATAAGAAAAAGTCAGAAAAAGAAAAGTAATTCTTTATAGACAGACAGATGGAGAAAAGAGACATTTCTGTTAATATCCTAAGTAAGGCCTCTAAAATCTAGGCAGATGAACTCTTTTTGGATGGTAGCTCCCACTGTTTTGCCGTGGCAAAAACAATGTCCTTTCAGAAAAGTGTCACATGGGAGAAAATAGTGCTTGGGAGCTTCTCCAGGATAATAATTAAACACAGGCAACTCCTGGGAAATCAAGTATTTTTCAGTGGCTTTTACAGGAGTCCTGAGGTATAGTACCCTCACATTTACTGAACCTTTTATCTTAATTTCATTTGTTATCAAATATCTTTTGGTTACTCTCCATTTTTGCTTCAATTTCTTCTTTAATGTTCCAGCTAATAAAAAAAAAATCAAAAAAAGTTACAATTATAAAATTACAACATTTAGGAATGATGTAAAATCAGTTAGACAAGATGGACCAAAGAGCAGAATTTTTCTGAAAGTTTGTCTTACCATTTGTATGCAAACTTGTGTAATGTATATAAATCAAGTATTACTCAAAATAGCTAAATCATCTGGAGAAAGAAATTTGGAAGTTCTAAGGTTTGTTAGTTAGATGTGCTTACTATTTTTAGCATGTAAAACTGTTCTGAAATTGATGTGCTAAAAATCTCTTAAAGACAAATCCTTAGATGAGAGAAATCTGCTTAGTTCCATGAAGGACCTGCTTAGCATTTACCAAATTTATCATGTAATTGTATTTTAAAAAGAGAATTACATCAGAAATAGAATTAACATTTTGTTTGGTAAAAAAAAAGAAAGATATAAATACTAAGAGACTTGTTTTAGGACTTTTATATTCTATCAGAAAAGAAAACTTCTACTGACTCATGAGCTCTCTCTTACGAATCATAGGGTT